CGAGTTCGATCCCTGGTACCAAAAAAAAAGTAGCTGGGACTAAAGGTGTGTGCAATCATGCCTGGTTCCTGTATTCTACGATCACAGATGTTGCTAAGGGACTGCAAAAGAAGGTGAATACTCAGAAGAAGGGATCACTGTAGGTCATCTTAAAGTTGGTCAACCACTGTGTATTCTTCCAGTCAAGAACTTTCCACTTCAGATCATTTGTGATACCTGTTCCTTCTGTTTTGAAGGCTTTTCTCTGAGACAATCACATGACTGGCTCCTTCTTATCCTTCAAGTATCTGCTCAAATGTCATCTCAGAAAAACAACATTTAGGGACGGGGATATAGCTCAGTAGTGCCGCTGCCTGCCTCACAAGCACAAGGTCCTGAGTTCAATCCCTGGTACCAAAAAAAAAAAGAAAGTAATATAACATTTATCAAAATCTAAATATCTTGTTAATTTGCTGTTTCCATCTAGAAGACAAACCTCCTTGGGGGTAGGCAAGTTACTCCAGTATTTCTATTGCCTAAACCAGTGCCTAGAATAGGTACTTGATATTTGTATCAAAGTTAAGATCCAATGACATCTTTTTTTAAAAATGTATCAGTTATTTAATTGGTTCTTGGTAAGACACCTAGAATGCTAATTAAATTTCATTTGTTAGAGTAAAAAAATAATCCCATGTAGACCTGAAGCAAAGGGATAACTGTAATTTTGGGTAAAAAAAATTTTTTTATATTAGGGATCGAACTCAGGACCTTGTGCTTGCCAGGCAGGCGTGATGCCACTGAGCTAAATCCCCAGCCCTATGGTAAAATTTTTGAGTCCACCACTTCCCTGTCAATCTTGTACTGCTCAGTAATCTTGTATTTCTTTTTCTGTGTCTAAGATTTCACCATCCTGGTGTCTAGGTTTCCACAGCTACTTCTTGACTGTTTGTTTTGTTTTGTTTTGGTACCAGGGATCGAACTCAGGACCCTGCGCTTGCAAGGCAGATGGCAGAACCACTGAGCCAAACCCCTGGCCCTAGCTACATCTTGAAGTAATCATCAGTGAGGTGTTTTGGGATTTTCATATTGACCATATCAATTTCTGTGGAGGTGGTGATGACAAATTTCTGATGTGTCTACACAAAGGAAATTGATTGAGGGAAAAGGACCAAGGCACAAATAGCAAGCTACTTCTCAGCTACTTCAGGAAAACCACTCTCTTGCCCCTGTGGCACCCAGTGAGGATGATTGAGTTGGTCCCAGGAGTGATGCTAACTCACAATTTTCTCACATGCTGACTGAAGGTTTTTTTGTGTGGTGAGTTTTGTTTTGTTTTATTTTATTTGCCCTGGCTCAAAAATGTTTGTGGTACATCTTCAATAGTATGTAGGCATTTTGCAAAGCACAACCATTCCAGGTAGCACCATTCTTGTCACCACCAGCTGGTTTTGTGACAGTAGCAAGAACCTTTTCCTTTTTCTTTTCAACCTTGGATTTAACAGCTGAGTACTTTCTCTTCTACATGGCCTTTCTGGGATACATAGCAGATTGGGGATACTTGGAAATTACTCTAACCAGTACAGGGTTTCAGCTGCAGTGGGGCTTTGACTTCTTGGAGTTTTTAGCTTTAATAGATCTTACATTCCAGAGTAATGTTTATTTAATAAAATAAGAGTTAACATAGCCAAATACTCTACCAGTGAACTACATCCTTATCCCTAAAAGTTAATATAAATTTTAGTATAATGTATCTGGTCATTACAGAAAACCAACAGGAGCATTCTTAGCATGCAAGAGGCTGTGGGTTCAATCCCCAGTACTGAAAAATAACCAGGAGAACAGAAATTAAGATGAGAAAGTAGCAACATTTTTTAAAAATACTATAGATTCTTCTTATCTGATAGAAATTTGATGTGAACCACATGTAATATTACATTTTCTACAGAAAAATTTAAAAAGTAAAAAGAGCCAGGCATGGTGGCACATGCCTATCATCCCAGCACTCAGGATGCTGAGGCAGGAGGATCACCTAGAGTTTGAGGCCTGCCTGGGCTACACTGTGATTTCAAGGCCATACTGAAGTACATAGCAAGTTTCAAAAAAAAAAAAAGAAATTAGTTTTGTTTTAATTTTATTAGCTCTGGATTGTTTGTTTGTTGTGGTACTGGGGATTGAATCCAGGGTCTTGCACTTGTTAGGCAAGCCCTCTACCACTAAGCTACATCCCTAGTCATTTCTATTTTTACTTTTTAAGATAAATTAAAGTTTTGCTAAGTTGTCCAGGCTGGTCTGGAACTTGTGATCCTCCTACCTTAGCCTGGTACATGCCACCAAGCTCAGCTGAAATTAGTTTTTTGGGTTTTTTTTTTTGGTACCAGGGACCGAATTCAGGACCTTGCACTTGAGAAGCAGGCGGCACCACTAAGCTAAATACCCGGCCCTAGCTGAAATTAATTTTAATAATACATTTTACTTAACTGCAGATCCAAATTATTATTATTAATGCAATGAATATGAAAGGATCAATGACCTAGGTACAATGGCACATGCCTGTAGTCCCTGCTATTTGAGAAGCTGAGGCAAGAGGATCACAATCTGTATAAATTTCAAAGCCTCAATAATGACATAAAATATTATAAGTGGCATCTGAATTAAGACTGTTCTTATTTATAAGAGTAAATTATGGATGCTCTTGCATTTGGATTTTATTCTGCAGAAATGCCTTATAAATTCCTGAGCAAAGAAATTATAAAGGGCTGGAGACATAGTTCAGAGGCTGACTGCTTGCCTAGCATGTGCAAGACCTTGGGTTTCCCAGCACTGAAAAAGAAAAAAAGTATATTTTAGGCTATATGCCGTGTAGTTCCAGCTACTTGGGAGGCTGAGGCAGGAGGATCATTTGAGACTATGAGAGTTGAGAACAGCTGGGGTAACATGAGATTCCATCATAAACAAACAAACATTATAACCATAATAACTAGTCCTTAGTGAGTAAATACAATTATGCCAAGCACTGATCTAAATGCTTTATATATATTAATTCATTTAATCTACCCCCAATCCTATAAGGCAAGTGTTATTATCCTCATTTTATGTGACAATATCATGATTATTAATATGATGGCAATGTGCAAGACCAATTAAAAGAAGAGCCTGCTGGGCATAGTGGCACACACCTGCAAATCCAGCACTCTAGGAAGCACAGGCAGGAGAATCATGAGTTTGAGCCCAGCTTGGGCAACTTAGTGACTCAGGGAGACCCTGTCTCGAAATAAAAAGGGACTGGAGATGTAGCTCAGTGCCAAAGCCCTGTGTTCAATCAAAGGTACCATGGGGGAGGGGCACAGCAAAAGTTAAGTTACTTGTATTTATCTACTTCTATCCACTTTGACCTAGGTAACATTTCAGGTGGCTTATAAGACAAAACAACATGAATACATCAATTGAAAGTGGGACAAAAGAAAGAACATCTCTGTTTATGTGATTTCATCCCTCAATATTAAACTCTAAGTTGTTGAATGTTATTTTATTGCAAAAGTAATATTAAAATAACAGAAATCCAAAGTAAAAAGTTTCCTGCAATCCCATTCTCTAGTCAAAACAATGTTTGGATTTATCTAATATTAACTGTTTTAGTTCTTATTCATATGTATATTCCATTTTAACATATTTGCAGTGATTGTCTAGCTAGTATTTTACATTTTTATCAACATTATGTATAACTTTTTTCCTTTGGCTAAGAATCTTATTTTCTGTCTCACTACTCCAACTAATATTAAAAACCCAGTGTATTTCTCTGTATCTTTATGTTTGCCGAAACATGCTAAAATATGAGGTGTGATCAAAATATATAGTGAATGTATAAATTTTTACAAATCTATTACAGTAAAAGACACAGTGCCATTAATCGCTCTCAAAATACTTCCCCTCACTTCATACACACGTATCCCATGATTCTTGCCCCTTTTTGAAGCAGTTCTGGAACTCTTCTGTGAGCATCTTCATGAGGTGTGATTAAAAATATGGTAAAGGCTGCTGACAAGTGCCAACAGGCTTGCAAGAACACTAGTTTTTTTTTGTTTGGTTGGTTTTTTGGTACTGGGGATTGAACTCGGGACCTTGCACATGCGAGGCAGGCACTGTGAACCACTGAGCTAAATCCCCGGCCCAAGAGCATTGTGGTATACGGCCTCAACCACTTCACTCACAGGATCTGGCACCATGCGACCTGTGGGTCTTCCTCAAAGTCAAAAGGACCATGAAAGGTAAATATTTTGAAGAGACTCAAGACCTGAATGCAGCAATACAACTAAAGACACAAAAGCACAGAAGTGCTTCAGGAAGTGGAAAGAATGATGGGGTAAGGGTTTTTGCAGCAGGGAGTGGGGATGGGGTGGGGAGGTATTTTGAGGCAGGTTAATGTATCTCTTACTATAATAAATTTTAAAAATTTAAATATTCACCGTATTTTTAAAAACACTACACACCCACATGCACACGCACACATACACACAGGGGTGGTTGTAAGGTAGTAGGTTTTTGTTTTGTTTAGTTTTTTGTTTACTGTACTAGGGATCAAACCCAGGGCTTTCACACTGAGCTCCCTGCTCTAGTGAGTCAATGAACTGACGCCTGACGAAGGGGAGCCGCTGAGAATGTCAGAATAACTGACTGACAGTAGGAGCGGGTACCCATCGACACCCTGATGAACCAAAGGCAAGCGAACATGGTATCTAGCTTTGTCATCTTCCAAGGGATGGAGGGACAGCACAGGAATCGCTAAAGCCTCACCTCACACGCATTTCCCGCCTTTTCTCACGCGGCCGCTGACTAGAATAAGGGTGGAACCAAGATGTGCGCGTGCGCAGCCTCGACACCCCCCCCACTTCACGTGATGCTAACCCCTGACCCTGGTCAGCTCAAGGTTCACTGATTGCGCGTGCGCGGAGATCCCTCTTTCCCGCCCACTTTCTGCACGTGCCTACCCTCTCACCCTGGGCATGCGCGCGTGTGGCCAAGAGCAGAGCGTGGCGGCCTCATTTCCCCACCCTTCAGGTAGCCCCTCCTTCTCGACCTAGGCCGACGTGACTGTAAGTGTGCTCTTGCGCGCGCGCGGCACCGCCCTCCTACTCACGTGACCGCAGATTCGCAGCGTTCTCCAGTACAGCCATCCTGCCTCCAGTTCTCAGAATCCGGCGTTATGGCCGCCGTCGTACCCCGTGTCGCTTCTCTCTCTTCTCTGCTTCCCCTTTTCCTGGGTCTCCTGCTTTTCTCCGCCCCTCATGGCGGCAGCGGCCTGCACACTAAGGGCGCCCTTCCCCTGGATACAGTCACTTTCTACAAGGTAACGGGGGTTGAAAACACGGCGTACAGGTCTTACTGGGGCGTCTGGGGGAGCGCACGCCCGAGGGGGACGTTGGGTACTGGGGCTGACGTAAGGTAGTCTCGTTGCGACAACCCCAGGGCTTCCCACCATCCTGTACGCCGTTTGGAGTCTGGACCAGGGGCGTACCCTGACCTCAGGGCACACGCGCTCCAGCCTGGGTCACACTTGCCTCTGCAGCATTTATGCATGTTTCCTCGTTTACAGAAGAGCTGCAAAGATGCTTCCAGGCAACTAGGTGCCCCTTCTCTTTACCTATGGGGAGAGCACGGTGCCGGGGAGATCCAATCCACGAGTCCCACGTGGGAGACCCGAGGGTGGAGCGAAGGCAACGGTACCCGCCCTCTGGTTACGTTGACAATGGCAGGAAAAACTCGTTAATATGTTTTCTGGGCCTTTCTTTGAGGATGGATTACAACGTGCTTTGCAACACGTAAACTGTATGGATACGTTATGCATCGCCCAGAAAAGTGCAGGCGTTAAGAATAAGCTGCAGTTGAGCCATCCTGCAGGGAACATCTTGGGTCTGAGAACAGAATGAATAAAATCATTCGTCAAGGCTTGGAAGGAATTTGGGAACCTGGTCTGCGTGAATGGACAATGGAAATGTTGAATACAACACCCTCCTCCTACTTCCCTCCTTTTGCATCTGTCTCCAGTCACTAACAATTTTTAACTTCCTCTAGATCAGCAAGCTAAGCGTTGCGAGAAACTGTAGCCAGTCGTTTTATTTTTTGTACCCGTTGTGAGGAAGTGAAACCGAAGTGGAGCTCTAATGTATCTTGCAAGTAGTTGAACTATTCTGTTTTTGAAAGAGCTGCTTGTTGTGGACTTGGCAGTTGTAGTTCATTCAAGGCAAAGTTTCAGAGAATTTACAAGTACAGAAAATGATTCTTAGTTGTTAGGCACACACCCCTGGCGCCCTGTGTTTTTTGGTCCTTTTTGCCAAAGTGGGAATCAGGTAACATAACAGTCCGGGTGTGACTCAGAGGGATGCTTTGCACTGTAAGGTTGAACAGTATTTCCTAGTCTGTTTGTGCCACTCCTGTCTTTGCTACTCTACATTGATCTAGGCTGTTATTTACCATAGCCTTCTCAGTGGCCTCTGCTTCCACCTTCAGGCTCCACCCAGCAAATCCTAACTGATCTACACCTTGCCTCCTCTCCTCATCTGCCTACCCTCCTCCAGTCATACAGTTCTTCCTTGTGTCCTTTGTTCCTAGCTCATTATTACCTTTGGGCATTTCACTAGCTGTTCTTTGTGACTGCAACAATCTTTGCCCTACCTCTGAAAGGCATTGTTCAGGCATAGGATAGGTTACCTGCTCAGATCCTTTCCTTGGTTTCCCCTACCCTCAAGTCAAAGTGCCAGTCACATTAACCTGTTTGCTTTCTCTACAGAGCACTCATCACTGAGTTGTTGGGTTTTTTTCCTTTGTCGTTATCTGTCTCTCACACTGAATCATTCTATGCTTGTGAGAAACTACACTATTTTATTTATTATCTGCACAGGGTATTAGGTTACCTGTCACATAGAAGGGGCTAAATAATTTGTTGTATTGCTGGGCTGGGTGGCACATGCCTGTCCCAGCACTTGGGAGGCTGAGGCAGGAGGACTGCCAACAGTTTGAGGCTAGCCTGGGCTACAAAGTGAGTTCAAAGCCAGCCTGAACTATATAAAGAGACCTTGTCTCAAAAACAAAGAAAAAGATTGGATAGATGAACAAAAGTTTTCTCCAGTCTTTCCAAATCTCACTGTTTTCCATCACCATTTAATACTAGATGAGTTTTCTAGTGTTCTCTCTAGGAGCCTTGTTTCATATCTTGCTTTTCAGTGATTTCCGACATCTTTTTTGCTTCTTGCCATTTACCATCACTTAGAATGTTTTGTTCACTGTGTTCACTTAGAATAGGTGCCTGGCACATAATGAGCCCTTAATAACTTTTTATTCAATGAATAAAGAATTTTTCTCAGGCTGGTTATGTAGCTCAGTGGCACAGTGCCTGCCTGGCAAGTGCGAGGCCCTCAGTTCAATTCCCCATATCAAAAAAAATTTTTTTTCTTTACAGTACTTTGAAGAAGCAGGTTGCCTGGTTCTAGGTATAGAAGAGTCGATTCCTCACAAGGGAAGGGGAGAGATTTCTGAGGCAATTAAGAGATAAAGACTACAAGCCAGGGGCTCAGTATATAGCTCAGTGGTAGAGCACTTGTCTAGCCATGTGTGAGCCCCTAGGTTTGATCCCCGGTACTACAAAAAAGGGAGGGGGGCTGAATTAACACACATTAATATAACCAGTAAATGCTTTTTTAAAAAAACAAAATAAAAGACTGCAAGCTAGGAGCCCGAGGTAGGGAGATCACAAGTTCAAGCCCAGCATAGGTGATTTAGCAAGACACTGTCACAAAATAAAAAATAAAGGGCTGGGAATGTAGCTCAGTGTGAAGGCCCTGAGTTCATTAGCAGCACTGCAAAAAGGGGAGAGGGTTGGAGAGTCGAGAAAAAATTCTTTCTGTAAATATCTGCCATTCTAAACTACCTTGTCTTACCCAGGTAGCTAAGAATGGTATAGTTAAAAGAGGGAGGTCTCTCAAATCTATTTCAGTGTTAGATTTCTGTGTGATTATTATTCCATAATATAAGTACAATTCCCTGAAGATAGGAGTCCTATGGTGTTTTGTTGTTGTTGTTAATTATTTTTTATTTTGAGACAAAGGCTCACTAAGTTGCTCAGACTGAACTCCAACTTGTGATCCTCTTGCCTCAGCATCCCAGAGTGCTGGCTATGTTGTGGTTTTTACATGTTTTCTTCTGGACATGTAGCATCTGCTACCAGACACTGTGGGACCCTAGGGATACAGCAGAAGGCAGGTCAGACAACATCCTTTCATAAATGTATATTCTAGGGCCGGGGATTTAGCTCAGTAGTTTCACTGCCTGCTGCGCAAGCGCAAGGACCCAAGTTCAATCCCCAGTACCAAAAAAATATATAAATAAATAAAATAAATGTATATTCTAGTGGAGAGGATAATACAAACAAAGAAGGATTTCAGAGAGTGATATGATGAAAATTTGTAAGATTGAAGTATTGGGGGGGGGGGTACCAGGGATCAAACTCGGGACCTTGCACTTTCACGGCAGGCACTGGAACCACTGAGCTAAATCCCTGGCCCGAGATGGAAGTATTTGTTAGGAATGCAGCAGTAATAGATAATTGGAGTCCTGTGCATTGGAAGGGGACATTTGAACCAAGCCTTGAATGATAGAGTCAGCCATGCAGAGAACTGAGGGAGGCTGTAACATTCAGCAGAGAACAAATGGGAGGGCCCAGAGCAGAACAAGTTTAATGTAATAAGGTCAGTTGGGCCAGAGGGATGTGATCTGATTTATATTTTAAGTTTTCCCTGTTTTAGGCCCCCAGAGCTCAGACTTTTGGTGTCATTGACCATTAAAAATGACCTGTTCTGGCTTCTCCTTCCTTTGTATCCCTAGGGAGTGTTAAATATTCCTAAAATCCTAAACCCAGATGGACAGCACTACACAGTAAGGGACACAGCCTAACAAAAACATTTAGTTCTTGTTCCACTGCCTGATTTGCAAGCACAAGGTCCTGAGTTTGATCCCTGGTACCAAAAAAAAAAAAAAAAAAAAATTTAGTTCTTTACTTGCAGCTGGAATCATGTCACCCTGACATAATTATGGGCAGTGATTGCCTGTGATGAAAACCTGACCATAGTGATCCCTGGGGTAGAAAAGCAAAAAGGTTGTGAGAGGAAGAGAAGGCAATATTACTGACCTGAGGCACCTTGTTAGATAAAATCTGTGCATGGGGAGAAACCATCAAAAGATCTTTGGTTCCTCAGTAAGTCAAATGAAGACTTACCATATGACCCCCACATTTCTGCTCCTACATATACTCAAAAGAATTAAATACAGTGTTCAAACAAAAATGTGAATGTTCAGGGCAGTACTATGCACAACAGCCAAAAGGTAGAAACAACCTAAATGTCCATCATATGGATAAATGGTTTATTTGCCTATAAAAAGGAATGAATTACTGATGAGTACTACAAGGACAGACCTTAAAAACATTATGCTAAGGCAAAGAAGCCAGACCCAAAGGTACATACTGTATGTTTCCATCAGAATAGACAAATCCAGACGCACAGCTGAGGCAAGAAGAAGAGGGCTGAGGAATAAATGTTTAATAGGTACAGGGTTCCCTTTGGGGTGATGAAAATGTTCTGGAACTAGACAGTAGTGATAGTTACATAACACTGTAATGCACTAAATTCCACTTTAAAATGGCAAATTTTATTTTACTACAATTAAGAAAACATCTTAGGGCCAGGGATTTAGCTCAGTGGTTCCGGTGCCTGCTTTGCAAGTGCAAGGACCTGAGTTCGATCTCCAGTAAAAAAAAAAAAAAAATCTTGGCGGTTTAAGAGCTGGAGATCTAGTCCAAAGGAACATTCACCCAAGCGTTACCTTTACCAACTTTGCCCTGAAATTGCTGGGTTTGAACTCTGGCCTCTAGCCAACTCCTTTTTAGATGGTTTTGTTTATATTTTCAGATTTCTGGTTCAGTGTTCACTGAGAAAGGCATCCTGAGATGATGGTGTACATGCCGAAGGCCTCCTTGACCCCTGGTTTTATCTACAAGTCTGTGTATTATATATTGGGTTGTATGTATACTGTATCTTTCATTAGTGTGCACAGGTACCTAATGGGGTGCCCAGCACATAGGAGGCACTCAATATAAATTGTTAAATGTATCATGGGTGAATGAATGAATATTAAGTTGTGAGAGCTTGTCTCCTTTGTAGGCTCGTTTCCACTCTTATTTTTTAAACAAGGGTCCCTTGGGAAGGGGAATTAACCCCAAAGCCCCTGGACACCCCACTTGCTCAGCTCTGTGCACCCTCAGGTCATTCCCAAAAGCAAGTTCGTCTTGGTGAAGTTCGACACCCAATACCCCTATGGTGAAAAGCAGGACGAGTTCAAGCGACTGGCTGAAAACTCAGCTTCCAGCGACGATCTCTTGGTGGCAGAGGTGGGGATCTCAGGTATGCACTTTAAAAGCTAAGGCTCAAGAAGCTTAAGTGACTTCTCAAACCACAGGGTATGGAAGGGCTCATCCAGAACTCCACCTAAACCTGGGCCTGGTGTCACATGCCTGTAATCCCAGCACTTTGGAAGGCTGAGCCAAGAGTTTGCAAGTTCAAGGCCAGCTTTGCAAGACCCTGTCTCAAAAAATGGCTGGGGATGAGGTTCACTGCAAAGGCCTTAGGTTCAAGCCCCAGTACGGGTGCAGGGGAAATGCTGACACAAATTACCTAAATGTTTATCATAGGTATAGCAAGCACTTACCAGACCTAGCATCTTCCTAGCTATGATGCCTCCATTCTCTTGTAGGCTAGGAATTTACTGGTCTGGTCCCTGTAGAGTTAGCTGGCATACCTCTCTGGAGCAATTTTGACTCAATTACACCTGTGGAGGCTTTTTGAATAATAACAATAATGTGCCCAGGCATGGTGGTGCACACCTGTAATCTTAGCCATTGGGAGGCTGAGGTAGGAGGATCTCCATGAGTTCAAGGCCAGCCTAAACTACATAGCAAGACCCTGCCTCCAAAACAAAACACCAAAAACAGTAATAATAGCTAACACCACATGTTTACTGAGTGCCAGGCTACTATGTGTATCTCATCTTTGTGACAGCTGTGACGGAAATGCTATGGTACCCTTACCCCCCATTTTTCAAATCAAACTGATGCCTAGATTGAGCTGTTAAATGGCAGAATTAGGATTAGAACCTTAGGTTCCTGTTACTGTTACTCATTTCTTCTTGCTGAGGTGTAAGAAACCAGTTGTCACAGCACCAGCCCCTGGAACTGCTGCTGTTAGGAAGGACACTACAAATGCTACCAGGAATTAACACATATTAAGCACTCAGCTCTGAAGGTCTCATGTACGCTTATCCTCCCCACAGCCCTTGGAGAGCAGGGACTACATTCATTACCTACCACATGCTCCCCTTTCTCACTAAGCTCCAGCCAGATTGGAATTTGTAATCCTTAAATAGTCCAAGGTCAGTCCTCTCCCCTGAGACAGTTCCCCATCTTCAGGAAGCTGGCTGTATGACATTTGGGTCCTTCGGTTGCTATCAGAAGCCTTCCATAGCTGCTGAAAGTGATTTTCTTACTGTTCTTGTCACATCATCTTGTTTTATTTTCATCATGACATTAATACCTTATCTCAGAGAGCTTGTTGGTCTGGCTCACAGCTGATCCTTAGTACTTAAAACAGTATCCAGCACATAGTCTACATAAAATATTCGGAAGGAGGAATTAAAACCAGGGCCTCACTTTGAACGATTACACAGCAAAATTATTCTTCCCCTCTGCCCAGTTAGAACCCGATTACACAGCAAAATTATTCTTCCCCTCTGCCCAGTTAGAACCCGTAATAATATCCTGCCCATATCATGGTCTTGCCCTTCATCTCTGGTTTCTTTTCACAGATTATGGTGACAAACTGAACATGGAGCTGAGTGAGAAATACAAGCTGGACAAAGAGAACTACCCAGTCTTCTATCTCTTTCGGGATGGAGACTTTGAGAACCCAGTCCCATACAGTGGGGCAGTTAAGGTTGGAGCCATCCAGCGCTGGCTAAAGGGCCAGGGTGTCTACCTGGGTATGCCTGGTTGCCTGCCTGCCTATGATGCCCTGGCGGGTGAATTCATCAGGGCCTCTAGTGTGGAGGCCCGCCACGCCCTCTTGAAGCAGGGGCAGGACAACCTATCAAGTGTGAAAGAAACCAAAAAGAAGTGGGCTGAGCAATACCTAAAGATCATGGGGAAGGTCTTAGATCAAGGTGAGGACTTCCCAGCAACAGAGATGTCTCGAATCACCAGACTGATTGAGAAGAACAAGATGAGTGACGGGAAGAAGGAGGAGCTCCAGAAGAGTTTAAACATCCTAACTGCCTTCCAAAAGAAGGGGGTGGAGAAGGAGGAACTCTGAAAAGGCACTGGAATTTCCCAGGGTTTGCTGGGGTATGTAGGGAGGGGAGAATTACCCGCTGGCTGTAAGACTCTTGTGGAATATAAGGGGGTGGTGGAAAAACTGGTATTAAACCAGAGATCTGACCCCTGAATATGCCTGGACATTGATGCGGATATGACCATGCTTAGGACATCTCTAGAGCCGGTCTGGGGATAGCTGGAACACTTACCCTGATGATTAGCTAATGTCCCCTCTGAAGGAATCGGTGCTACAAAGAGGAGGGTACTGGCCAGGTCCTTGACAAGTGTAATTCTGATTCAAATAAAGTTTCATTGTTTTGGTTAAGTGGACCTGAAGCCATTTGTTTCTTTTTCAAATTATGCTCTGGGCCGTGACTTGCTTTCTTCTTTGAATGTTTTTTGTTTTAATTCCAAACCCATATGGACTCCACTCTGCCAGGGAAACAAATTAATTCTGATAAGTCTGGAAACTGGTCTCAGTTTAAGGCACAAACTTTGTTACTTTCCACTGATGTTCAGGGTCCTATGGATTACTTGTAGGTGGTAAAATGCGTTGCCCTTTCTAAGACTCAAGAGCAACACTGATAAACAACATTGAACCAATACTGGGCACAATTACTTTTTATGATCTATGAGATATGTATAGCAAATTGTTCTTAGAGTTTAGATGACTAAGGGCCAGGGATGTAGCTCAGCAGTGCTGCACCTGCCTGGCAAGCTCAAGGTTCTGAGTTCGATTCCCAGTACTAGAAAAGAGTAAGAGTTTAGATAACATTATATGATTCAGCCCAATTTAAAAGCTAAAAAAAAAACTTTCCCAGTTAAATGACTATCATTGTTAGTTACTCATTAAATATCCCGGATAAATGACTATCATTGTTACTCATTAAATACCAACTTTAAAAAGCAGCGTGGAGCTGGGTGTGGTGGCACATGCCTATAATCCCAGCTCTTGGGAGGCCAAAGCAGGGGGATTGCTGTAAGTTCCAGGCCAACCTGGGCTACATAGCAAGACCCTGTCTCAAAAAACAAAACAAAGCAGTGTGGAGAGCATTGTACTGACTTTCAAATTTTTTCTCAGGAGTGATGAGCAGTTATCTGCAATGGTAAGCTTCCTAACTGAACCCCTCTCATAACCATTTAAAAATACCATCAGGCTGGGCATCATGGCACACACCTGCAAAGCTAACACTGAGAGGCTGAGACAGGAAGATCGCTATCAGCTCCAGAGAGGACAGCTTGGGCTCCATAATAAGTTCAAGGCCAGCTTGGACTATATAGCAAGACCCTGTCTGAAAACAGTAAAGCATCAAACTACAGCTGAAATATGTCTAAATGCACACACACGAATTTAAGTTAAATGGAATTGGCAGATAAAACCTTGTTTATTTTCCTTGATTTCAGCTGCATTGGTATTAGTCACTGAAAAAAGGTGGAGGAAAATCCATATATTGGACAGAACAAAAAAACGCTTATGCTTACAATTCACTTAACGTGAAAGATAGATATACTTAAACATTCACCTCTCATAAATGGCATATGCACTTTACATTTCAGGAAAGAATGTCACTATGTTAGTCTAATAATTTCAGTATTTCCCTTTCTCATTTTATTTAGAGACAGGGTCCTGCTACATAGTTCAGCAAGGCCTTGAACTATGTATCCCGGGCTGTCCTCAAACTCATGGTAATCCCCTTGCCTCAGTTTCCCAAGTGCTAGGATTACAAGGGTGCCCCACCACCCCTGGTGCCTTCTCATTAACTTGCTGTAGCTGTTTTTTCCCATGTAAGCTGGATTGCTTCTAAAAAACTTGAGTATTCACTGTTTGTTGTGTACCGGGGATCAAACTCAGGACCTTGTGCTTGCTGAGCTAAATCCCCGGCCCAAATGTTAAAGAGTTTTTTTGGTTTTGGGGAGGCGGGGGGGTTGGTTTGTTTGGGGGTTTTTTTGTTACTGAGGATCAAACTCGGGACTTTGCACTTGCAAGGCAGGAGGTGGCACCACTGAGCTAAATCCCCGGCCCTTGAGTATTCACTGTTGCATGGAAAGTATAGTGAGCCAACAAATGGCAAGTAAGTAAAGGACTCTACAGCCACAGTCCCTGAATGCAGTCTAGTCTTGAGTCTATTTTGAGGTATAGAAAGGATGGTGGTAGTCCATTCAAAGGTGTCATTGGGCCGCTTTAGCCCAGAATCTTGAACTTAAGAAACAAGCTATTGGGCGAACTAGATGATCATGTTAGAAGCCTCTTACTACCAAGTATTTTTTTTTCAGAGACATCTAGTTTGAAGGGATATGGATATGCCACATAAAATTTAGTCTCCTCTGACACTGAAGATTAATGAGTTCCTTTCCTCTGCTTCTCAGCATCTAATAAATATTGTGGCTCAAACTCTAATGAAAGCTACAGACTAACTTGCTACACATCTGAAGGCTACAAACTGGCATCCTAGAATTAAACAACTACATAGGATTTTAAGGGAATCTCCTGATAAACTGAAGCACAGTAGACACTGGATCCAACACGAACAGTACTGAGAGTAAGAAAAAACTTGCATAGACAAACACAAGAAAATAATCTGGTTTGGAGCAGAGCTGGCCTAACCAACCACTCCCGGCCTTCCTTCCCCAGGACAGGAGAGAACTCCTAGCTGGCCACAGTGGTGTGTGACACCCAGGAGGCTAAGGCAAGGCTGCAAGTTTTGAGGCCAGTCTGGGCAACTTAATGAAAACCAAACTGCTAGGAGCTGGATGTGGTGGCACACGCCTGTAATCCCAGCACTCTGAAGGCTGAGGCAGGAGGACTGCAGATCAGAGCCTAGCTTGGGCAACAGTGCAACTTCATGAGACCCCATCTCCAAAAAAGCAAAACAAAAGGCTGGGGATGCAGCTCAGTGTGAAGTCTCTGGGTTCAATTCCTAAGTGCCAAAAAAATTAACTAAAAAATAGCATCAGATTTCTAACCTGTGGCTTTTTTTGAGTAACAAGGAATTGTCTTGAACTACAGCTATAGTTTATGCATAAATAACAAAACTTAGATTTGAACATTTTGTTAAAAAGGGCAAAAGGGGGCTGCAGGTTGGACACGCCTCTGAGCATGAAAAATTGGTTCTAAGGAACATGGGAGTTTTCTAAAATGGTGCCAATGAGACAGGCAAGAAGTGCCTGACTCTCATTTTTCCTGTGCCAACTGGAGGGATGTTATGGCTTGGCCAGCAGCTGTCCCCACCCTCCACTTCCTTTTGCTCCCCCTTGCACCCCAATGGAGTAGGACAGTTTGCTTCAGTGTCCTATCTGGCTATCAGACCACACCATTCCTCACTCCAGCAAGACTGCAGCCAGACAGCATGGAGCCCTCCTTCAACTCCCACTTCAGAAGATACAGTTGCCTTTTTGAAGAAGGGAGGGGACACTCTGAAATGGCTAAGATCAGGAAGGGAGGGATCTGCATACCCAACATTCATAGCGCACTTTCAGACTTGCCCTTCACTGGAACAGGCCACCTAAAAGCTGCTGTATAAGCAGCATCCCCAGCCACTTGAGTTTTAGCGTAGGAGGACTCCCTCTTGTGTATCGGCCCCCTTGTGCTGCAGCACACGCCCTGTCAAAATACTTACTTTGGTGTTCCTGTAAACCTCAAGATTTATCTCTCTGGTAGTGGGTTCCAAAAGTCATGTAAATCTGGGCCAGGGATTTGGCTCAGTGGTTCCACCCCTTGCCTCACAAGCCCAAGGTCCCGTGTTCGATCCCCAGTACCAAAGAAAAAAAAAGTCATGTAAATCTACTTGGGTTTTTATCCCAAGTAGTGTGGACAGAGCGGTCATTTCTAAAGAAAGAACAATAAACACTCAAAGCTTTTAACACCGAAGAGCTCCAGAGACCAGCACCAGGTAATCAACCTACTGTCCAGCACAAGCCAGCACTGTATGGTGATAGCCAAGCAGTGGCAGTACCAGCAGCTGGCTGTGTCAGCTGTTGGCATACAGCTTTACCTGGTTATCATCTGGTGACATCAAGACTGCTAACAGAGTTGGACTTTGCATACACCAAGAGTAATTTTAATTTACAAGTAGTTCTTGGTAACTGATAACCACACACACAAAAAAGGTAGAGTCACAACAAGAGACATTATTCATGAAGAACTAAGAATCTAGGGATTTGAACCTGACCACGAAGAGTAAGAAAGAGATGGTTTAGGGGTGAAACTAGATTTTAGCTTATTTATCAGGGACCCATGCTTCCTGTGCTATAGGCTGGAGGCTGCTGAAAAGATGTGTACACCCTAAGCATAAACTGCAGTAGGAAGCCCACAGATGTCACATATGAGTCATGGTAGCACTCATCGTTGAAACTTAATGTTAACAGCATCTAAACACAAACATTAAAAATATATGCCTGAGCCCACCTTTATTGAATATAGGAAAGTACATGGCCTTCTGGAACTCACTATATAGCCCAGGCTGGTCTTAAACTCACAGCAATCCTCCTGCTTCAGCCACCTAAATGCTGGTGTTATAGGCCTGAGCTACCATACCTGGCTAAAAAAACTAACTCTTAAGGGACATACAAGGGGATTTTAATCACAGGAGAGAAACTAGAGAAAAAACAGCTATTTCCATTGTGTTATCAATATGCCCAAAAATCAATTTTGGATCTCAGTTTAGGGGTTCAAATACTCTTGGGTAAATGTCATCAGGCTACCTGAAGTCCTCCAGCAACTTCTCATCAAATTTAGAATAAAATCTCAATCCTTCCCCTGGTTACAAAGGCCTAACTAATCCAGTTTCTACTACGCTCTCTTGCCACTCCTTTCACTAAGTTCCTGGGACGTATGCTGCCATTTCCTACTGGAGAGCCTTTGCATGTGTGTTTTTCAGGACTGAGTCTTCCTCATTCAGGTCTGATGGCACCACCTCATGACCCAATTTGAATTGACCCTCTAGACATACTCTATTCTATACCCTGACTTACTTTATCAAACAGGACTTAATACAAACTGATAACTTATTTTTACTGCCCCTTCCCCATCTCATAGCCAGTAAATAGGACTAGGACCTCATTTACCATTCTATCAGCAGAGCCTAAAATTTAGGAATCGCATACAGGATAAGGTCAATACATACATATATGTTAAGTTCATAAATGTGAGTGTAAAAGGAATTAGTTTTAAACCAAAGAAAGGTGGCCTTGGAACAAAAAATGTAAATTTGCAAATAATAAATTTTTGCTGGGGCTACAGCGCTCAATACAGAATTGAGATGAGTTACACCATTCAAAAGGTTGTAGCTTCTAAGAATCTGGGGGAAAAAAATGAACCAGGTAGAAATGCCAACTGAAAATGAAAATGTTTATATAAATTAACCCATCCAATTTAAAGTAGATTTGTTATTTACTTAATTTTGAAGAAGGAAGACTATAGACTTCCCATTATAAATCACATCAAATAAGTAATAAGAGTTTCAATAACAAGCCTGTAGATACATTGAAACCCCTTTATATATTAAAAGTTAAAATGAAAGACAAATCCAGATTGAACATAGTGATTGCAAAATATAATGCAATTTTAAACAATTAAAATTATGAAAATATACAAAATTGATGGGCAACACAACTAGGCATTTGTACATTTTCCATTATGTGGAGAACACTGAAAGTTTCTCTACCTTTTATGTGCATCAGATAAATGATTTAAACCAAATGTTTGCTTTGGAGAATCTTAACTTAGGATTTCAGTAGTATAAAAAGCAATAATTTTTTCAGTCTGTAAACAGTAGTTGTGTTTTTTCTCTTTTCCTTTTTTTAAATATCAATTTACTACACAAAAACAAAACAAACCATACAAACCAAAAACAGCAGCAGCAGCAACAGGTTATTTGGGAATTCTGTTCAAATATCAATGACATACAATTGCTGGGAGAGGGTGCTTTATACTCATGTAAGAATATATATTTATAGATATAATTTTTTAACTGTACACAATTTATAGTGCATGACAGATTCCAAAAGAATAGACTGATCAAAGATATTGGCCATTTCTGCATAATTTCATTCTTTTTACAATTATCTCAAAATGCGAGAGTTGGATCTAATTGAATTGCTACATTTAGTAGGAAAACCAGCAAGTAACAAAGGAAACATAACTTCAAAAGTAACATTATTTGTCAGTAAAACCAGTAGAGATCCCAGATACCCCTAGGCAGGAGACTGGTTAGACAGACCACTAGAGTCACACACTGTCCCTGAGGACCAAGGCCAGCCCACTGAGCATATATATGCTAGATTGATCATGGTCAGTTGATAGATGTTTTAGAAGGATTTCTATTTCTATGTACAGTACTTTTTTGGATATTCAAAGAAACATCATTCTAAAACACATGCCATACACACATCCCTCCCACCCCTGCATACATACAGTTCCATCTAAAATAGGCCACAGTTCTATGAAATAATGATGTTATCATTAAAGGAGATTCAGAATCAGAATTTTCAATTCATTTTGTTTGAGACAGTTCTTCCTTTGAGGATGGGGTATCTAATGGCCATGATTACCAATTTATATCAAAAATAGAATTTTCAAATTATTTGATGAACTAGCTTCTCCAACAAGCCTTATTTTAAACAGGTAATGTAGTAATTTCTACAAATTTCCTTAAACAGTTATTAATCACCCTATCAAATCGTAAATCTAAGAAAGTCAAGATGAGGGAATGAAAATGCAAACTTTGGACAGATTTTCCCAGTTCTCTTTTGGTTGCTTTTAAAATAAGTATCACATTTCACTGGAGCAGTGCATATAAAAGGATCACTGAGGTCTTTAAGACCAATCCTCTGTCAGGTGCTTGAATTTCCTCATCAAATTCATTTCTTTGCTCTTACAGAATTAGTAACTTTAACTCTACTTAAGTAACAAAGTCAGAAGCAAGGATTCCAACACCAAAAAAGTTATCAAAGAAACTGTAAAACTTGCATAACATTTTCAAGAGCAATTTTTATCTTTTCTATCAGATCAACCTCTGAAGCTACACAGTCTTGGGGATCAGACCTCCAGGTGAACAAAATAAATACCGTCTTGGTATAATTCTCAAGTTTTAAGAAATCAAACCGAGCATCAAATCCATTGGGTAACATTTCTTTTGCCAGCCTAAAACTTAAAACCTAGGTTAAATTGATTCATCCCAAACCAAATTAAAAAGACTAAAATAGTAAATCTTAATTTTCAAGCATATACATATATATGTGAATATATATATATATA